TTTATTTTATACAAAAACTATTTAATTAACTAGCATTTTCTTATTAAATAAATATTTATTTACTGTATGTAAATATAGTACTCTTTTAAGAAAAAATATATATTAAAATTTAATAAATCTTTTTTTCAATGTTTATATGTGTACACAATATAATATTTATACTTTATATAATTAATACATAATTATATATATAAAATACGTAATTACGTATTACATTATGAATACATATATATCACATAATGCTTATGCATTAGCAAGAATCTCATAATACATAATGTATGCGAAAATCAGGTTCGATACTGAATTCGTTAGTCATGTCGCTGATGTCACTCAATACAATATCAGTGAGGATCTACCACTAAAAGATGCTAACGTAATATAGATGCTTCTTGTCGCATCAGTCTTACTTATTAAAATAAATAAAGAACTCTAGTCGGAATTATATGGCGCTATAGATGTCGTTACTTACGTAATCGAAAATTAAATGCGCGCTCTTCAAATATTGAACAGCGAGAGTACCAACATCGGATAAAGTATCAAAAGCCAAAAAAGAATTTACAAATGTACAATTTTTAATTTTGCAGTTGATCCAATAGATATTTCGCGATCATAAGTCATATTATTCGCGATCATAGTCCTTAATAAATAGATTGTTTAATCAACAATCATCGAGTTATAAAAACAAGGTTATTAGGAAAAAAAATAAAAATATTTTAGGTATTACCTCATAATAACAAAATAAATTTAATACTCGTCAAAAATAAATTTAATACTCCTCCATTGGAAATGTAGTATAATATATTTTTCATTTTCTTACTGAGTATTTATATTCTCATATTTTTTAAGTCATATCACAATTTATATGACATTTTCTAAAAATATTTCATTAAAAAAAAAAAAAATGCTTTCGCATCTGCTGACATATTTTACGTTTTTTTTATTTTTCTACAATATTTATATATTCGCACATTTTTCATATGCAATTTGCGTTGCTAATAATCAAGTGACCTTCAAAAGTCATTATGTCATTACATTTTAATCGCGTTACATTTATGCAAAACCGGTATTTACATATTCACGCGTAATTCAGAATTCAACGAACAACAATCAATCGCATATGTAAATACTATAATTAATTATTAATACCATTCTTATGATGACTTTACTATGGGCAGATGTAAACATATCATTTCATGAATATCAATGATTAACTCCTTGCAATTATACTTGTATCACCAAATCGCTTAAGAGCTGTGTAATCAAAGACGGATTTTGCTGTTCTAATTTTGCTTTTATCATCGAATACTTACAAGTGCTGAGTATTACTTATCCGATGATAATATGTACTACGATTGCCCTCTTAGGTATTAATTCTCCTTAAGTGACATTTCTCTCAGGGGCTCGATATAATGCATCTTTATAATTATTAACAACGATTAATTATTGTCTAGTTTGAATTTTCCATAAGTGAAGATTACGTGAAATCTCTTCCTTTCCTCTTCGAGGTTACGAATTAATCTTGCGGAAAATAATTCTAATTTAATCAATCAACTTTTTTATCTAATCTTTCTCAATTTTATTTTTAAGGTCCAATTGAATCAAAATAACAGTTAACTATTCAAGCTAATAAATAGAATCGTAATTAAATTTTTTAATACACTTTTTTCATATATTGGAGATGAAGAATTTAATTACCGATTATTACTTTTACTGATTAAACAGTATTATACTCAATGAGTTCGTATTATATCCGAAAATATACCAAATGATACATATAATGCATAAATATAATGCAAGCTGCAAATCTCATCGATAAATGAATTATATTGGCAAAATAGAGCAAGTGTGCTTCCAAGCGATATAAATGAAAATATTATAAAATATTTGCTTAGACTTGAAATCAGAGCATTTGCATGTACGAGTAACAATCCGCAAAAATCTATAAATTCATATACACGCGCAATAAAAAATTCTTTTAAGATTAAATTATCAATACATTCGTTTCCAAGAGAAATATTCCACAGTACAAAGCGGATCAAGATAATTTTTGCGAGTGCTTTTGCCTCTATCAGACGCATTTACTTCGTCTTTATGCGTACGGATCGACGAAATATTTAATCTCGATAAAAGAGATTCTATCGCTTTCCCTCGCAACTTGTAGTCCTACGTGAACGAAACGATTTACGATCGAAATCAAAAAGGTACATCTTGAATTACCCAACGATCAATATATATTTCAGCACGTGCGTGCACCTTCAAGATGACGAACCGTCGAATAATCGTAAGCAAGTCGGTTTGCCACTCGCGCGAGTAGAATAGAACGAGTCAACGTTTAGGTCATCACATGTTCGCTCGGTGGATTTCCATAGCCTCGGGGACCCACATTGTGCCGCGCTTTGTTGCTGCGTGAGGTCATACCGAAAGCCGCGTATTGTCGCGTGGCACGTATTATTGTATACGTTGTGTAGGTCTAGGTTTACCCTTCCCCCCTCCTCCCCTTCTTGAGCCACGGTTGGCTGAGATGTTCGCGATAAACCGGCATCTGATAAGATTACCGAAACGCGCATAAAAAGTGAACGCGTGTCTTGCACGCCACTGTCTTTTCTGCATCTTCTGACGAAAACATTGAACAAAGGAAAAATGCGATGAGAAACTCTCCTTTCACCGAAATTCTTCATGAAATATTAAATAATATTCAACAAATGACACAATAACCACGATTCTCACCTTTCGACTAATATTTCGTTGAAGATTGATGGCAAGAGATGGAGAGATAAGAGATTTTTTTTTTCTGAAATCGAATACACGCATAAAAAAGTTACAAAAATTTAGAGCGATTAATGCAAATTCGAAGGCTATCTCAGATCTATAATTTTGTGATAAAATCGAGGACGTGTATAATTTCGTGTATAATTTGATGGATACAACTGTATAAGATGTCCTAATAATAATAAATCACGACAATGAATCTGAGGTTGAAAAAAAAATGAAAAAAATCGAATTCTAATTACATATTCGTCTGTTAATTTGAAACAATAAGTGTAGTAAACCTTAAGTCTTATGAAATTGATCAGCCACAGTTGAATGTGAAAAAAATAATCGACTGTAATTGTTGATGTCAATTTCTTAAGCTTACTATACCTATTATTTTAGGATTTATTTACGAGAAGCACAACAGCCCGGAGATTTTGGAAATATTGAGGAACGTTGCTTTGAGATTTTTAAAAATAGATTTTAGCGTCTCTTTAAGATTATTTTGCTTTGCCGTTTATCATTACTTATTCATATTATCATTTCTTAACTATATTTTCCCACGTCAACGTTATGTAAAGAAATCATGCGATTTTATAACATTTGATGTTAAATTAGATAATCAAGACTTTTAGGAATATGGGACAATGTATTAACAGTTACAATAATAGATAATTAAATAATGCATAAAATATCATAAAATTGATAATTAACTCTGTTATCGAAAAATTGTTATGTTGTCCCATTTACTCAACAAATTCAGTCAATTTACTTGATCTTTTTGTAAATTGCTTCATACAATATTCAATATATTACAACGAATAATTATATACATATAAACAATCAATTTTTAACATTAATTTTTCGATTCAATTACATATTTTTTTAATTAATCCAAAAAATGCAAGGTTAAAACTTATATAAAAAACGCAAATCTGAATACAAATGCTTCATTCATGAATCATTGTTTTTTTCTATCTCTTTCATTTTTTATAAAACGTGCAGCTGTGCACGTTTACTTACACAACATACATTTGAAAAATAAACAAACAATAATAAAATAATAAAAGATACTCTTCTGTTTCTAACATACCTACATATTGAATCGAATATTTTGCTATATACGATATATTTTTCGTATACTAAACAATGATTACAACGAATATTAAGTTGCATACAACAATATAAAGTGTAAGAAACAATTTTAGGTTTACATTTTAAAGTGTCGTCCATATCAAAATAAGCTTGATATTTTTGTTATAACTTTTTAATAAAGCATTTAGGATCAATATATACAATTTATATAACTTTTTTTTATTTTTGCTCATAGAATATACTATATTAAAGTTTGTACAAAAAATCTGGGACTCTCTGTATTTATATATATAATAAATAAATATTTAATTTTGTCTAATTTACTTCTAAAGTTAATACACGTTATAGAGTTTAGCGAGTTTGTAATATTTTTTTCATATGATCTAAATCCTATTTTCACGCGTTTCATATCACAAACGCATTAAATCGACACAACATCAGAGACAAGTGCAGTTGCGATTCGCACATAGATTTCTGTATTACCGGTTGCGATTTTGCGAAAACGAGATCCAGCTCAGTGCAGATGGCGGTACAAAACGGAGTGTTGTAAGACAAATTTTTTCTTGTGTTTTATAATATTTAACACAACTATACGATACCAGGATGGGGGTTCGATATCAGGGAGGCCACGTCGTCTTTATCAGCTTAAAATACAGGCAAATTTACAATGTAATTTCATTGTCGAAAAAAAAAAATAGAATAAAAAATACGTTTGTCTCCGTGCTCCACTAAATGCGCCTTTGCAAACGCGACTGAGAACCGAGATACGCTCAGTAAACATTTTATGCATTCTTTTCAATCACCGCGAATCAATAGTCGATGTATGATTTAATTATTTCGCGACGGCGTAAAGTCGGAATTCGACGTCGCGGTGGTACATTATTCGCAGAGAGACATGTCTGCCATGAATACAAAAACAAAAGGAGAAACATGCGTAAAATTAATTCACATGGCTAGCATTTATGCGCACTTGTATCTACTTGTACGCAACTGTTATTTTCTGTCGGATTAAAAGAAATAAAAAATACCATAGATTCATTCAATATCGTTACTTTGCAAACTAAAAGAATAAATTATTATGAGAAATTACGCACACGCGCGCAACCAATACACATTACACGTTCCCACACATATGTTATTAATAAACTTTACGATTAAATACGTCGTACAATTATAGCGTAAAAATAAAAGACGCAAATCGTATAGAAGAATCGGCCGATGATAATAATCAGTCGACAATAAATCATTTCGTACGACAACGAGGTAATAAACAATAATAATACAATCGTAATGTCTCGGTCGAAGCGACTAAATGTCGACGTCGACGAATATCTCTAAGGCGTGGTTCCTCCATCGAAATTTTGTCAGCGCGTTTGACGAGACATCTTTTCCGACCGGCACATTTCGTTCGAGAGCGAAGGAGATATCTCTCTCTCTCTCTCTCTGTCTCTCTCTCTCTCTCTCTCTCTCTCTCTCCCTCCTTTTCCTTTCTTTCTCGTAGTCGGCGTCCGAGTTCCATATTGAAGAGCATCAGCTGGCTCGAATCCCGGGATTCCCCTGACATCCGCGAGGCATCCGGATTGCCTGCCGATACTGTCTTCGTCTCCCCCATCCATCGCCCCACCGCACCGGTCCCAAGCGCAGTTGCACGACAACGTCAATTTCAGTTTTTCCCTCGGGATTCGGGATTTACCGGCGTTGCTGGAATCCTCTCCGCCGTCGCCCTTCCCCTTCCACGGCCACGCCATGTAAAACGTGGATCTACCGGTTTCTGGCGACGGCAATCTTGCAACAATTGCCGTCATCTCTCGCCCACCATCGATCCGGTGTCATTGCAAAGAGGATCAATAAATCTCGCGACGACATCGCCTCGCGACGCATCCCGGCGCATCTTGTCGCGCGAAACACTTTCGAAAGATTCTTTTTCGTTCTCTCTCTCTCTCGCGTGCGCGCTCTCTCTCTTTCTTCTTCTCTCATGGTGCTCCGTTTCGCGGTCCATCGAAATCCGAGACCGAGACGTGACGTAGGTGCGTTCATGCGTGTGCGTGCATGCGGCTGCTGCGCGCTCGCGCATGCACGCGGGAACGTGTATGCGTGGGTGCGCGCGCGCGCGCGCGCGTGTGTGTATGTGTAGATGCGCGCGCTCGCGCGCGGGTGTGCGCGCTAAGCGAAGGCCATGTCCGACAGGCTACGGCTACTACTCTGTGACGGATGACTTTTGAAAGGTAAACAGGCGAAGGAAGACAAATTGATACTCACGGTTTTCCGTCGGCGCGGCCGGTCCAATCGCTTTCCCACGATTTTCCCCCGTCGTGTGCGTGTGACCCGGCGATTATTTGATTTTGCACAGTAACATTATTGTGCGTCCAATAAAAAAAAAAGGGAAAAAGAGGGAGATGGGAAGGGGGACGAGACGAAGAGAGAGAAAGATAGAGGGAGAAAAAGAATGTAACGAACGACAGGGAAAATGCAGGGGAGGGGAAGAGAGATGAAGATAGAGAAAAACGGAGCGCAACAGGCGGAGAGTGAAGTCGGGAGAGAAAAAGATACACACCGAAGAGTGGTTGCTTGATCAAAAGCACAATTTTCGTGACGTCATCGGCGATCGAGCATGCGCGAACGTATTTCGGTGATTTTCCATGCACAGTGAAACACGTGCGACGAGTCGGTCGACGCCACTGCTGCTACCGCACACAGCACTACATATCGCTAAGAAACGCGCGGCATTATCGCGTCGCGGCGGCGGCACGGGCTTCCACAAATACCGAGCGCGATTCGCGAGAACCACCGCGGCTGCCGACATCTATCCATCCACTCCCACTTGTTAAGTGACGTACACTGACGTCACCGATAGTTTACCTTGAAGCCGCGTGACATTGAGCCGCAGGCCGGCCAATCGCGATGTTCGCGCTGCGAAAATCCCACGGTCGCGCAGGTCGGGTTTTCATTGCGCGCGACAGCGTGATCAAGCGCGCACAATGCGCAGAATGCGCACCAACGCGCACCAATGCGCACAAGCATGATAGTCGCGATCGTCCACGAAGTCGATCCGCGATCTTGCCCGATCCTTTGAAATTTATTAAAATCTACTTCCCGTCGATCTCTACTGAACTTTAATTAAACTTTCATTTAATTAATCGACGATCTATTGATTCGACAACCGGAATTACTTCCAGCAAAATTTTTTAATTTATAATCTAATCTTCCTTTCGGCCAAATGCTATTGCTTTTTTAATGACAAACCTTATCTATAAATGATTCTGGGCTTCTATGAGAAGTTCGATAACGGTAGAAAATAATTTCATATACTGCTAAAAAATATATAACTAATCTTTTAAGTTAACTGAATATCTGCGCAGAAAGAATAATTTTTCTTAAAGCATCTAAAAATTTAACTAGAATTGAAAATAATTTTGTTGGACTATAAAAATAATCATATAGAATTATTAGGCATAATGAGCAATATTGCAAAAAGTTTTAACATTCTAGCATCTAGTTTGAACGTTATACGACTATTTTGATAATGCAACAAAATTATTTTCAGATCTGTATCTAGCTAAATAATATTTTAAATACCGCAGCAAAATCAAGGTGTTAAAAAATAAAATAAATTTTTTTTTAAAGAACATGAATTGAGGTTTAATGAAATTATCGAGATCTTTGTAAAATGACTGTGATTTTGAAACTATTATAATTTATGTGTTATTATTTCGAGTGCACGAATAAAACAAGAACGATAAGTTTAACGTAAGTGCGTAGTATAGAATTATTACACGCTAAAATTAAAGTGTCGTTTAAACTTAGAATGCACTTAATATGCATTATATCGTGGATTAATCGCTTTCGTGCTCGAACAGAAAGATTAAGTCGATATCCTTGCGACTGTGATTATTTCAAAGTATTCTCCGTGGCGAATGTAACCCTTCCGCTTGTAATGGAGGACAAAGTGTGCCATTAACATATCACGATCTTATGTAATTAAATACAGCGGCAATATATTTATGAAGTCATTATACCCTTGAAAAAAAGCCAGTATTTTAAGAATGTGATAAATAGTTTCTACAACTAAATTCGTGATCCAGAATTGACGAAATGTAACAATCCATTTCTTGTTCAACATTTATCAGTGAAAAGTCGCACAGTGAAAATTAGCTTCATATCGCTAAAGTGCACAAATATTATTAGGAGAGCAACAAGGATAAAAAGGTCTCCTTGACAATATTAGATATTGAGAAAAAGATATTTAAAAATTTAGTTGTGGCATACATTTCATTATATAAATCCTTATTTTGAAATATATAAATCCCTATTTTGAATACAAAGACAAATTTTATATTTTATTTCTAGTAAATAAACCGTCTATTTCATTTTTTATTCTTTTGCTTTATTTTCTCTTTTTGTTTACAATTAATAAAAAAAAAAGAAATATATTTCACAGAAATATTAAAACATAAATATTCTGTTATCACAAAGTCAAATTTGTCGTAACCAATAAATATATATAACTTTGCTTTTAAATATTTCAGTTTTTTTTCTCGGTATGCAATCATCTCAATTATTACCCAGACAACAAAAAATCTAAGATGGAGACATAAATAAAACATTTTAAAAATATCTTTAGACATCTTTTTAAAAAATATTCTTAAGATACGTGATATCATACGTCTGGTCTTTTTAAATGCATAGAATAATGCAATTTAATTTTATATGCACAGAAATCATTGGTATATCAACACATTGACATCTCAATGTTTTTAATATTCATTTAAAGTAAGTAATTAATTATTACCTTTTGGTATTAAATTTCTGTGAGGACAATGCAAGCCTAAATTCATGAGGCATAAGTGTTATCACATAATGATATCACATGCACTACATCACATTTTGACTTGAAATCAATTACCTTCTTTTTTATTTCAAATACTTTTATACGCGTGTTCGTTTGATTAGCGTTTTTTATCGACGCGCGACGGAATTTCTTTAAGAACTCGTTGAGATTTTCTAAACGAGGGAGGAGGTGTGCTATTTCGTCGACGTCATTCGCACGAGACGGGCGCTAAACTGCCTCTCGTGTCTCTCGTGCTAACCAGTAATAAACGCATATTCACACGAAACCTCGACGTACCGCGACATTTATATGCATAATCCTCGATATCACACGCGAAAATCATCGTACGTGATACAGCTTGCCTGCATAACGTACGATCTCGCACAAGAGAGAGACCTTAAGGATATCTCATCGCAATGTTATTTCTACCGTGTACTTTTAGTTTCGAAAAAAAAAAAACGCTGAATTTCTCGAGTATAATTTTTAATATCGCAAAATTCTTTCATTTTTGACTTTCAAATTCGATTTATAAATTAAATTATAATATTAAATACAAAATAAATATGACTCCAATGAATAAATCAATGAAATATAAAATGTATGTGCAAGCCTTTGCAGTTCTTGATGCATGCGTAAAAAAGCCAAATCAACAATTGAACTTCTTGGTGTATCCAATATATTAAGTAAAAGGTGTACAGACGTTTCGATCCTTGATTTGGATCCTCTTCAGTATAATATTCAACAAATATTGGGTCATCTAAAAAGTATCCGCGGTTTTTTGTCACTAGATGGTGTTGATGGTCAACACACAGAAATGAACAGACTATAATCTCTCCTCTTGGTAATTTTTCAATATCGAAACAGTCAAATGATGAGACAATGGTCAAAGTAAAACGTACAGTAAAAAGAGAGATTATGCCTTTCAAATTGATGCGATATGTAAAGATTTGGAATTTAACAATAATAGTTCATATTGCATAAAATCTCCAAAAATTGTTTGCATTTAAAAGGAGATAAATATATATTCGTATATTGAAGCGAGAGAAAGCGAAGATGCTAAGTGCAAAAAGTACAAACAACACGCACAGATTTCATGTGATCTTTTTTCTAAGACGGAAATGGGAAAAATGAAAAATTTCAGTGATACAAATATTCACGTTTTTATATATTTCCGCCTTAAGGAAAAAGTTACATGATTGCTATCTTGGCTTGAAATGTCAGTGTTTATGCTTAAATTATTACCTTTCAGAAAATAAAGAACGAAACTGATAGTTGACAATACCAGTACTGTCTAAAATTTATTAATTGTCAGCGTTGGCCATCGATGTCCACGCACACTGCATTCTTTTTTCTTAATGGAGATAAAAATATATAATCGGTGTTCACGCTTATTTTTCTAAATTTCCAAATAATTTTCTAATGTGCACGAACGTCGATATCAAACCAAATTACAAATTTTCGACAGCACTGAGTATAATTTTGCAATTTCGTATACAAGCGAAGTCATTAATATTTTAACACATGAATTTATGCGCATACCGAGAACTTATTATAATTCTTGAGGTGGAAATTACAAAAGTGAGCGAATATACTCGAATATTTATAACTTCGATCAACACGGTCAATACTTAGTGAATTTGCTTACTTTTGTAATTTTTTTAAGAACTGTAATAAATCCCCCCCCCCCCTCCCTTCCCCAATATATTATATACATATATGTTTTCCATATATGCCTTAATAAGCGGCTATAGGTCATGATATAAAAAAATAAAAAATTATAAAGTAATAAAATGTAATTAATGAACGGTTAATCATAATAGAGAACGTAATCCAAAATTTTGATTTGCATATTGCTAATGTGCCTTCATTGCTTAAAACTTTTTGTGTGCGATCATCCTAAATGAATGTTGAAATATTAACGATTCTGTGTAGACAAATATATGTATAAATATATGTACAAATATGTATGTCTAATTTAGCTTTTCTTTTTCTCCTTTCGCTGTATTTTTTTCGCTGTATGTATTTTGTCGTTCGCGCGTAGAGAAATGCGCCACAGGGAACAAACGAAGATGATAAAACAAATGGAAGGCGAATGTACATGGCACAGGTCGCGAAAAAAAACATTAGGAACATGTTCGCAGTTTCCTTGTGAGGTAAATTTCTTGTGAAACGAAATAGCAAACCCACATTAAAGAAACCCCACGTGCAGCGCGTGACTCGTTAAATACTGATCGTTTCTAGCGCGTGATAAAATTGCAAATCAAGTCTCGGAAGATGAATGCTAGACATTGTGAGTATCGCAGAGGCAGATAATCTTTTATGACAGATCATTTTATAATGTCACACGGCACTATCTTTAATAAATTTATCGAAGAGAAAAGAGCGAAATTTTTAACAAGTAGTGATTAAAAATTTAGGATTACCAAGAATTTTTATTTCTTAATCCAAAATATTATAACTTAGATGATGTATAAATGATCTATAAATTTGAATTTTTATAAAGTTACGGATTGTTCGCAAAATGTTTTACAAAATATTTTTAGTAAAATATTAGTTAAGTTATAAAACTTGTGTTATTAACATTATAATGTTACTGTAAAATTTTTCTTCATTCTTTTTACCCTTACCTTAGGCTTCATTTAGACGATATCATAAAAGTTCATCAGGTTTCGTAATTATATATGATAATTATTAAATTATCGGTGTTAATAAATTTTATCACGTAAATTATATATTTTTTTATTATAAAAAAAATATAAAGGCTTAGTTTCTCTCATATATTCAACGTGAACATATAATCTGATATAATTTAAAAAAAAAAAACATGTATCGCGTCATCTATGTGCGTCTTTTAGTAATATCACTAGATATTCCTGCATGCAAGAAATTAAATGTCCCTAAAAAATTCTTAAGTTATCAACACAGTTGTTTCAGTCTGCAACTGAGTGTCATGTATACCCTCATTATTTTTGCAATATCGTGAATTTCACGATAATTTAGCCATTCGCCATTGTTAAAATGAATATCCAAATATGTTAGCGAGGACGATTTGAAACTATTGAAAAGATAAAAATAACGTGCGTCAACGTGCGTTAATATATGATAAATAACTTTTACTGACACGTGTATGTTTATCTTGGATTCGAGTTTACACTTTGTTTCGAAATGAGTTTTTTTTTTACATTTTTGTAAGTGCCCCGGAAATTTGGAATTGTTAGTGAATGATAATGTTTATGCATTATGTCATTATGCACTTATTATCTGAAGATAGTATAATGTATTTCTTCTGTATTTGATACTAAACTTTTTAAGTTGTAGTTAATAGTGTACAGAATGAATTGCAAAAAATGTCGAATAGAGTAAAGTTTCTCATGTTCTGTATAAAACTACATAACAATACAAATACATAAAACTACAAATTACTTAAAAAATTATATATCAAAAGTTGTATATCATTATGTCACTACGCATGTATTTTCTGAAGATAATGTAATGTGTTTTAATTGTATTTCATACCAAAACTATAACTTAATAAGTGCAATAAGTTTTTTTCTATAGTCAAACTAATGTATATTTTTTGGAATTTAAAATGAAAGATACATATTATATATTTAATATCTGGCGAAAGTGAGGAAGAAAGTTCTATATAGTATAATTTTAAACAGAATTAAAAAACAGACTTAATAATACTATACTTTTGATAATATAATTTTTTTTAAGCTGTAATTTTTTTATGCTTACATATGCAGCAGCGTAAAAATTGTATCATTTTTGAATTATTCAATATACATATTAATATACATCAATAATATGAAATTTTATATTTTATTCCTATGTAAATGACAATATATTAATATTTTTGTACAGGTATAAAAGTTAAATAAAACAATGGCATACTCTGATCAGAATTATGAGATACCTAAAGGTATCAGAGCAAGACAGAATGGACAATATGAGATTCCAGAAGAAAAAACTGCAGCCAAGGCAGGTTTAGATGTATTACATACATCTCGGATAGACCGCGGTATAACTGAGGAAGACGTGGAAAGAAAGATAACGACACTGAAACAATTATTGGAGAAAGATCCAAGAGCTGCCGATTTAAAATGGTCCCTTTTTGTGGCAGCATCCAACACTTACCGTTATGATAGTTGTTTAAAACCGTTTCCGCCTATGTACATCAAGAACGAGTGCAAAGATATCGAAGCATTGGTATTATCCTTAATATTTCTAGAATAGTATATAATATTTATCTGATATATCCTTTTCTCTACAGAGGAGAGTCATAGAATCAGTCCCTCCTTTGCTCGTGATATGCAAAGAACTCGGTGAGACAGATGTCTACCAAAATTACGGCGAAATAATAGAGTTATTGTATTGGGTACTGCTGCGATTAAGAGATCCATACATTAAAAGTGTACAGAAAGAATACGTAAGTATACATATCATAATTTCCGAGATTTTAAAAATCCAAAGGATACATCACAGTATGGTATAAAATTTTAGATGAATATTTATATTACAGTACAATTCCATACTGAGGAAAGTGCCATTGGAAGTACCGGTTGCAGCACCAAATCTTATATTTCAAATGGCAAGTGCGAAACAATCTACGTCAGAAGAGAAATGGAAGTCAAATGCTAAAGGTCACTCGACATTTTATGCGTATCACGGCAGCCGTTTGGAAAACTTCCATTCCATCGTACACTATGGTTTACAACAAAACATGTGCAAAGTGCAGTAAATTTATATTAAATTAAACTAGAATTATTTTTCTGTCATTTTATATTTTTTTTGTACTGCTAAAATTACAAAAAATTAAACTTTCTTATTGCCATAAAGTTATACAAAATTAGCATAAACTTAATTTTATTATTTCAGAGATCACAGTTTGGCAAAGGAATATATTTTTCAAGCGAATTAGGAGTAAGCTTACCGTACAGTCCTGTGGGTTATGGCTGGGGAGGTAGTCTTCTTGGAAGCGAGATAAGCTGTATAGCTCTCTGTGAGCTTATTAATCATCCTGATATAAAGAGAGGAGATTCAAGTAAGCGCATAATGTAATTGATAATAGTTTATAGTATATCAAAGTTTAAAAAGAAAATTTCTGCAATAGTTTTATGTTTCAGGAGATAACGCACAAAATACATTGAGTGATTCAGTTAGTGGAAGAATACCAGAGAAGTACTTTGTAGTGACAAATAGCGACTTAGTGAGGATACGCTATTTGCTCGTTTATACTCAAGATCTCCATACAACTAGGTAAGTTAGACATAATATAAGCATTAATTAAGTTTTACGTTGTCACAATTATTATTATAAAAATCTTACTACTTTAGTACTACTGATAGTACGGGATTGCTGGCATGGTTCAAGCAACACAAATTACTGACATTTGTGCTCGGCTACGTTGTGCTGTTAGCCTCAGTTGGACTAACACAGAACAAACAAGTAGAAAAATACTATAGGTTATTTATTCAGAAAGCAGGATTCGAATAAAAGAAGGATAAGAATATAAATTTATACAACTTGATTGCTATAAGTTGAAGTCTTGATATGAAAGAAAAAAGGTTACAAATGCCACATTTTTATAAAATTAGTCTGTATGTGCCAAGATTAATAGTAAAAAACTGCAAATGCTTTAAAATGATATAAAAGCAAATATCTTTTAATAGCATTTCTGTGATTTGCATTTTTGGCATTTACAGCCTTTTTACTTGTCAAGTCTTCGATTATATTGAACTCATCTACCAATTCGTATGTTGAAAAATATCATCTTTTATATACATTTTTTAAATATACATGTGATAAGTAAATAAATATTTTTTATGCTAAAGATGTATATATATATTATATATATATATATATACGAACATACTGTTTTATACAAAATGTTTTTATTTCCATAAATTTTAGTATCGTGAGAGTATGATAGGAAAGTTCTCAGTGACCAAATAATCATCTTCAAACACAACTATAAGGTTTACTTCAAATTCTGGAAAAATATTAAATTATAATTCTGTAAATTCACATTTTGTTTTAATGCATAACTTGCAATAATATTCTTACCAACTTTAAAGTTGCTTGTGCTTAAAGTGGGGCATGTAAATAATCTTGGAAATATCATGTAGATTGGAATAGCAAGATTTGTGCAAGTATTGCCCTCCCCGATTTGTATATTTTGTATCTCCGTCGCTGCAAAAATACAATCTTGTTAATCTTGATCTGTTATCACAGTTATTGCAATCCATTTATTGTATCCATTTTTACATGGATTCGCCGCATAATTATTTTTTTACCATCTCTAGAGTATCCTTCCGCGCATCCACAAGTTTCCACCCTTACTAATTGTAATTCTATAGACTTTATAACAGCCTCGCACTGTTCGATTACTACCTGTATGTACAAATAATAGATAAAAATGCAATATTCTGATATTAATAAATGGAAAAAAGTCACATACTTCTCCTGTCAAGGGTTCAGAGAGTTTGCAATACAAAGAGTCTAATCTTCCCGAAATGCAAAATCTTGGTACATTAGGCCTGTCCCGAGTATTTTGCAGAGACTCTGGCATTATTTTGAAAAACACAATCTTACTATGATCCTTCTCCACTTTAGCACTTGCTTTATCCTCGACTATAAACTCCAATGACTTGCTGACATCTTTTGCGAGGAAATTTCTTTTTATGTCACAGCGTATCAGATATTGTATATTCACGAAAACACCATGATACGTTTCGTAAAGAGATTTGTTTCCTCTTGGCTTTAATGGCAATTCGAATGGTATTTCCGTCTTACCATTGGGAATCTTTCCAGATGGAGCAACATCTAATGTATATTGTACTAATTGTATCGGCTGAAAATAATTATGATTTATTCAATAAAAAGGTAGTCTCTGCTATATTTATATTAAGAGAAAAACAAAAATTAAATTTAAAAAATAAGTAATTCAACAGTTCTCTTGTATCCATATTTATATATACATTAAAAAGTATATTTATATATACATTAAAATATATACATTAAATATACATTAAAGTATTTACTTTAACGGAATTATAAAATGCTTCGAAAATGCCGACGTTCTTGGAGCTAAGCTGCAAATTCACTGAACCTTCCATGGTGAGAAATATACCATCGTGCTTCACGTCTGAATTAGTTTTTAACTGTATCAGGCCAGCAACTACCTCCTGCAATATATAACCTCAATTTTCATTTCAAATATCCACAATTTAAGAGAATAAAAAACTGAAATAAAAAAACCAACCCCTTCGTGATATATTTTACTCGCACGTTTCAATTTTATGTCTATATTGATAGACATTTTGCGGATGATCCCTTTTTTTGACACTTGTCAAACGAGTATCAAAGATATCAGCTCATTTATTACGAAAAATTACACGCCGTCAAGTGATTAATCACTATATATTAATTCCATGTATTTTATTCCATATGTTTAATGTAAAAAGAAGATAAACAATTTACGATCAGCTGTTCGTAAACAAGCTGATAAGTTATAAGGATGTGAGAGTGACAGCTATGCGAGTCGAGACGCTGTCTCGCTTTGTAAATAATAATATTGTATACTATAATTAATGTAATTTATTTATAATATTATTATATGTATATAGTAAACAATTTCTGTATATTTCGACCATGGATTATTCGTTGCATGCTCACACGCTGTGTAAGCTTCATTCTATCTTCCTTCTATAAAGGATACAATGAAGCTCACAGCGTGTAAACACCAGAAAACTGAACGCAACCAGAATATACAGTATTTGATTGATTCTGGACAAGTCGTTATTGGCATTACAAATGTTAAGAAAAGTATCGAATTGAATAAATATAAAATATTTCCACGCGACTGATCTTTATGATGAACAGATCGATATACGAAACCGATATTTAAGTATAAAATATAACTATTATTCGGCCGTAGAATGACAATAGAACTGATTAAAAAATAAAACAAATTGAAGATATTTGGATATACCACATCTAAAGATATATACGACAATCTTTCGAAAAGCGAAGATAAAAAGTGAAGTGAAATGATTACAAAATAATATTAATAATAATTTCTCCTTATATAGTAAAAGACAATTTATGTTTCTTTTTGTTATTATTTTTTTTCGCGCGTTTAATACCCTAATAAAATGTAGCTCAAACGCGTCTGCTTTCTCGCGTCTCTACATTTTTTGATCGTTTTTGTTGCAGAAAACCGCCATTTTATTCTTTGACAACTTTCAAGCTGTTTATTAGACTTTTACGAGCAAACTATAAAAGTATCAAAGGGAATTTTATTATTCCGAGATGATTCGACCAATGAAGAAGGGACAGGGTAAGCTTATATAGACGCGGCTCGGTGCAGCCATAATCCTTGCTGCGCAGGCGCGCATTTACTTTCTTCTGCGCTGGCTTCCTGCATTAACAAATTCAAATCGACGAAGTCGTTACTTGCGAGAGTTGAAGCAGACTTGATCTCCTGTAGCGACTTACTTCTCAAAGGAAGGGACGGTGATTTGTGTCTGCAACGGAAACAAGGGCCTTTCTGCGTGATTGTGACTGACTATGGCGACAAGAAATCGGACCGCTATCACGGTGAGCACGAAATTATAATTTGCAAGCGCAGAAAAATCCCTCCTGTTAATAATGGACGGGTATCAACGGTTGTTCCAACGCCTGACATCTTTAAATGCCCCCTCGCATGCTTAAATGCCACTCCGATTATGACCTCGAGATTTCAATACCAGTCATCTCTTAATCTCATCCCAATAATTTTGGATCTTACGAAAATTCCTCAAGCGAATAATTTTTGTTGAAATAAATCTTGAAGAATAATACGTAGGAAGTTTCTCCCTTGTCAATGTTATAAAATTTTTACATATGAAATGGAAGGCGTTTAGGCATAATATTAGCGTCATATTAGCAGTCGACGACGACGTATAAATTGTTTAGAAATTAACTAAAAATATTAGCCAGTCAAAGGGACTATTGGACTCCAAAAGTCCACTAAAGATCCTATGTTCTGAAGATGTTTTATTTTATTCTAGAATGTTCCTGGAATAAAATATGCTGTATAAATAATATTTTTATTTAATTTATAAACATTATGTAAATGTAAGAATTACATGTAACTTGAATTTGCACCATTGACTCGTAACTTTATTAGGCTGCTCCAGATGTATATACTGCTTCATTTTTATTAATATTTTAATGTATGATATCAAGAGGAAAAATTTCAATAAGAATATATATCGCTTTTTCTATTTATACAAAAACTTATCCAATAAATATTAACATGTAACATAACTGTAACTATAACATAACACTAAATAACTGTAACATAATTTTGTTATAATTTCTCACTGAATAATATAACTAACTATATTATATTGTTGAGTAGGAAATTATAACTAACAGTATGTAATTGTTAAAATCAATGTTGTCTGAGTAAAATATCATATTCTTTTAAATTTTGTTTTATACATGTGTTTCAGAACCATGCAAATCAGGAGAATATCAAAAGTATAAAACCTTCGGTGGTTGTTGTACCATCGAAAGGAAAAAGAGCCGTACTAGGAGAAATAAGTAATAAGGTTAACACGTTGAGGGGTGTTGAGCCCATTGATAGGATTAATTTATTACAAAAGAAGAAAGTGCCAGTATCGAAGCGGCAAGTTGTAAAGCCAAATGTAAATCCACCTGAAAAGCCACCAGTGCAAGTCGTAAAACCGATTGTAAAAACAACATCATCTTCCAATGTAAATAATGCTTGCAATGTAGTCAATGTACCAGCTACTCTTGTTAGTCAAAAGAGAGAAGAGAGGAATTCGTTTTCAACGGATTTATTAAAATTTGAAGATATTGACGAGCAAGACAAGAATAATCCTATTCTAGTTTCTCTCTATACTAATGACATACATGAATATTTAAGGACGTTAGAAATCAAATTTACTATTAAGAAGGGATATCTAGCGGGCCAGGAAATCACCCCTAAGATGAGATGCGTATTGGTAGATTGGTTGGTAGAAGTGCATCAACAATTTCGATTGATGCAAGAAACATTGTATCTCACCATCGCAATTATCGATCGCTTCTTACAAGTAAGACAAATAATATAATATGTCGCAATAAAAGTAAATATCTTTTAATATTACAAACAAATTATATGCATACATTTAAATGATTGTATTTGTATTTTGTTCTTTCAGTTGTTTCGATCTATAGATAGGAAGAAATTACAGCTGGTAGGTGTAACAGCTATGTTTATCGCTAGCAAGTATGAAGAAATGTATTCGCCAGATATAAGTGATTTTGTATATATCACGGACAAAGCATATTCAAAGATAGATATATTGAATATGGAAATGCTTATTGTGAAAACTTTGGACTATTCGTTCGGGCGACCATTACCGCTGCATTTTCTTCGAAGATATAGCAAAGCTGGAAAGGTATGATATGTATATAAATATACGAAAATTTTTGTTGTTTTATTTATGTTATTTATAACTAGCACTATAATTTTATAAAGTCTAAATGATTTTTAAGGCGCTTCCTGTACATCACACGATGGCTAAATATTTTCTTGAGGAAAGCTTGGTTTATTATGAAATGTGTCATTATCCACCTAGTCTCATCGCTGCAGCAGCGATATACCTAGCATTTTTGTAAGTAACTAAATCATCTTATGCTGTACGTATCTTAACGTCTTCGATTAATAGATAATGTTTGTTAGAATTATCGGTAATGATGAAGACGACGAAGGCAAGGTTATTTGGTCAGATACTCTTGCATACTATAGTACTTACTCCAAGGACGATGTGTTACCTGCAGTACACGATATAGCTGCTATAATAACTAATGCAGAAAACAGTAAATATCAAGCTGTGAGGAAGAAGTACGTTCATGTGAAACACATGAAAATTAGTATTCGACCAGAACTTAAGTCGCCAATTATGCTTTCCATTGCAGGAAAAAGCAATAAGTCATAAATTTGTAATAAAACAATAGAATTTGTGAACTCACTATTTCGAGATATTTTCAATAAGATGTTTGTTACATTAAACATCATATCGATGAATATGACTATGGACATTATAGTTCATGGAACATTACATCGAAAAATAAATTAAGATAAATAGAAGATAAAGTAAAGCTTTATCACAGAGTAATGAATGTTGTATGTTATTTTATGTACAAGTTTCTTATTGAAAAATCTATTCTCATTTAGTCACGTACGAAAACAAAAAGACGTATTTAGAGTTTTATATACAAATGTTTGTTATTATAAGTAAAAATTTAGTCGGGTAATACTGATGGACTTTATTTTGGACTGCCGTAGTAAAACTAATTATAGCGGAAAACATAAAACGCATCTTTTATAATGAAATATTAAATAAAGCTTTTAGTTTTTATTCCTAGCTGATTATAATAATATTTTAATTTTGATATAAGTCCTACAAAGATACTTTTGATGTCACCATATGAAAATATGTGAGTATTCTAAGACATATTTCATTTTTTTCTTATACTTTTATATCCATATTTTCTCAAATATCTATCTTAAATAGTATAGGAGTCTATCGTTAAGTCTTTCGATTGTTAATTTTGGAATATAAATTGGATACAATTTGTGTACGAAAGTGAGGCGTAATCATTTTTGAAGATACCATATATCACTTAGGAAATTTTTATCAATATAGTGATAAAGAAATGTTCTTTGATTTTACATTTTATATTACTATATCCTATAATATGTATATAAAATAATTAGTATATAGGTATTTGCGCATGCCTGAAGTAACATAAAATTTTATATTGTTAAGCAATCCAAATTTTAACGTTTCCAAATTTAGATGTTTAATATATACATGACTCTACTTTAAGATTGAATACAAGTGGCTATTATTTAGGCCTTATTAATTGCAAATTTAATTATAATAATGATATAGATTAAATTACTAACTCTATACACACACCTTTGTAAATAAAAGGCTAAATTACTATAATTTATCTGTATTGTATTAATCTCTTATATTTATTATGTAATAGTAAAACTTTTTTCTTACATTCATACATTAATGCAACATTTTAAAAATATTTATTTATTTTTGAAAAGTTTTTAAAAAATGTTTAGCACGCGTGGTGGTGTATCAGCCTCAGGTGGAAACATTATATAGCGTTCTAAAAAAGTATTAAAGGTCAATGAATGCTCAATCTATTAAGAATTGAAATTACTGTATTTTGTGAGTACTTACCCATTAATTTAATGGGTGCAATAATTTCTTGAAGTTGTGCTTGTGTATGAATTGCACTTTTCTCCTACAAATAAATAAAAAAAATGTAAAATGTAATATTTGGAAATCCCTGGAATATTTTTTGTATTAATTACTTACTATATCAGCTAAACTTGTAGGAGCTGATTTGTCCCAAATTTCAGGTTTACTATTTTCCACTAATTCAAAGAACTCCTTTTCCTCCACTAAGATCTTTACTGCACTTTCATCAAATTCGAATCGTATTAGCACTTGCATCAGCTGGTACCATTCGTCTGCAGGCGAACATTGTTTTTATTATAATTAAAATATATTAGGTGTTGGAATTAATTCGTAGCGTTTTACAAGTGATGGGAAGTACTTTCATTAATGTATTTTTTAATGCTCATGTGAAATAAATAACATTCTTTCATTAAAAAACGCTACGAATTAATTCCAACACCTAATATATATTAAAAATAAATAGCATGCATATATTATTTATTTTTTATATATTTGAAAAATAAAATTATTTTAATTATATTTTAAATTTAATTAAAGAGGTTCTCTACGAATTTTATTTGATAATGTAATAATGCAAATTTATATTACTTCTATAAACAAACCTCTATCTTTGTATGCATTGCTAATAATTTGATAAAGGGCATGTATTAATCCTAAATCTTCAAACATACTGCCTTTTTTTAAATTTAAAAGTTTTCTTGCTTGTTTTCTACGGTTCTTACTTGATCGATAGCTTTTGCTGAAAAACATTTTTTATTTTATATGTGGACACACACACACACACAAAACGTATGATATATACTACAAGTACCTAGAAGACATTGACAATTGCGACATTCGACTTGAAACAGAATCTGCAATACTGATTGTGTCACTAATAGAATCTGGAATTTCTTTATTATATTCTAGTTCATCATTATAAATATTTTCACGTAATTGTGTTTGTTTTGCTTTCATTTCTGTTCTTACTACAGCAAGGCGTGATTTATAACTTAGAAAATCGGTCTTCATTTTACTCAATTGTGAAATCACGTGTTCTGCGTGTTCCTTCACTCCAGGTTTAATATGTGTTTCTATTAAAAAAAAAAGTAAAAAAAAAATTAGATACAGTAATTTGATTTTGACTTATATTTTTAGCATATTATAAATATAATTATTTCTAATCGATAGTATGCTACACATTGCTTTTCGAAATTTAAATATATTATAAATAATTAATACTTATATAGTATATTTAAATATACTTAATATATTTAACTATTTTCTAACCATTTAAATCTAAACGTTGAACATCAATCGTTATCCGTATTGCATGTTTCCAGATTCTTCCTTCACATAATACTGCAACTGCTTCTTCGATGTCATTTAAATATTCTTTTAATATTACAGCTGCGTGTTCATATTTACGCCCTGCTTTTAAATGTTCAACTAATACCTTATAATGTTCATGTAAATCTACTGGGCTGAAGAAATTAATTCTTATATATATATAGTTTAAGATAATATATAATATTAATTCTAATGAGAAGGTGATATTCTTTCATGCATGTACGTAAAACATTTTTTTTACCTTAATTTCATTTCTTTTAATATGGTGATAACGTCCTCCCAATTATCACTTGACATGCTAAACGTTTCTAAAGCTTTGTCAAGATTGCCACTTCTATAAAACATCATACCAGCTTCGAAATATTTCTGTTCATTTGATAAATATTCTCCATAAATTTCAGCTACTTTTTTATGCTCTATAGTACTTTTCTCAAACAATTTCATTGCCATCTTATACAACTTTTGACTATGTATGAAATCTAAACATTCTTCAAACTTGGCTGGCTCTTTAGATAAAAACTCTAATGCTGATTCATAACGTTTAAGATATACATTAATAGAATACTTCATGTAATTTGTGTTTAATTTTTTTAAATTGTTCAGGAATGGAACATATTCTTTGGGGTCTTTCGATGACTTAGACGCTATAAACATTGCGAGTTCAAAATCATACATGCCTAATGCAGTATCATATAACACATCAATATTTACGAAATGCAGTAAATATTTTAATGCTTCGTAAGCAGATACGGAAGATTTGTGTACCGTTAATTTTTGTGATTCTTCCAACGTTTTGACTTGCTTTATTTTACTAAGTGCATTTTCCAAGCCCTGTCTTTGTTGATTTTTTACCAAACTTATTAATATTGGTTGTATTAAATTATCTGCATCATGATGCTTCTCCATGACATCTCTTAATAATTTACAGATTTTATCTACTTTATTAACTATTTCGTTATCATTAGTTTCGTTACTTTTAATGTCAGATTTGACAGTGTGATCAACATAACAATTCGCGTACATCGTACTGATGACGTTTTCATCTTGTAATTCTGACAAATACAGATTCAACCAATTCAATTTTTTATGTTGTATAATATCTTCCACGAATTTTTTTACGTTATCTATAAATAATTGTGGATTGTGATCGTATATTAAGTTTAAGTTTATACGTTGTTTAGTCATGATATCAAGTGCCGTCAAATAATTACAGTTATCAAGATAAAATTTTAATATATGCAATGATAATGCCCTTGGCTGTATACATTCTAGATTTCCTCTAGGCATTTGCAAAATTACTTTCGAATCTTGTAGTATTGCTGTTATTATACGAGAATCTTTTTCGAGACGTCTTATATAGATATCTGTAACAATATATTTAAAGTTAGAAAAACAATATTGTGATATACATAAAATAAAAGAGATTACAAAATATGTATTCACCTGTAAGTGACATCTTATCCATAGTATTTAACCAAGGTTTGACAGTTAAATCATATACACTTAGCTGCTTTAAGCCAACTTCGTTTAACGGAACACAAACCAATGTATGTTGCAGTGTTGTGAGAATAACAAAATCAGAATGTACATAAAAACTTGTAATATTCTTAGCAGTTTCCTTTCCGTTAATAAAAAAACTATTTTCTAAAGATAGAGCAAGAATAACGTCGTCCGAATTAATTTTTACAATTTCAAGTTGAGCGCATAATTTACTCAACGTTATATTTGTTTGTTCAAATTTTCCATCCCGCGTGTATTTAAATATTTGTTCCTTTGCTTTTATGTAAGCTGTATTTGCATTGGAAGAAATTATATGTTCTATTGGATAATCCAAAACATAAATTTTTCTGTAAAAAAAAATTTAAGTTTAGATAAATAATATTTTACAAATTTTATAAAGATGGTATGATATTTTATATCTAGAAAATCACATACTGTATTGTCAGAGAATTCTTTGAAGAACTTTCTTTATCTAAAGATAAAACACACAAAAGATTATGATTATTTGTAACTGTACAAAACAACATAATGTCTTTTGTAAACCATAAGAAATTATTCGTATAATAATGGAAATCTTCAGTTTTTAATACATCACATTCGATATCATATAATGTGCCAAAATCAATACTATATGAATTTATAACTTCATATGTCAGTGTGGAGGATTCCTATAACATATGATTAATTACATAATGCAACGATAAATAAATTCTATATACATCATTATTTTTTGTTAAGACAAATTACCTTTATCTGTTTGAAAAACATCAACTTATTATTACATGAAACAGTACAGAATTCATTGCTATTTATCAAAGATGACTTGTCATTAATTTCTGGTGCAAAAACAATTGCATTTTGTGATTCGGAAGTATGCAAATATTGGTGCGCCATTGGCGGTGGAATTATTCCATCTT